CAACATTTTCTGCTTTAATCTTTCACCGATCTGACCAGCTCAAAGTTGGTCAGCGGTTTCCTTCTCCTTGTCTTCTGTAATGCCACCGGTGAAAGCAGAAGGTAGCTCAGAGAGAGAGATAAAGAGCACAGAATATTTGAAAGCTGTGTTGGAAGAGAAAGGCTAACTTTAAAACAATATTATTTAAAAGAGAACTTCAGACACAATGCAAACTGAAAATATACCATAAGGAGCTATAGCTGATGTAAAAAACTATTTACCTGCATCTACATTACTGTCCGTGAATCCACTGATTGAAACAGAAAGCTTCTCCAGGATTCTTGACCCTGTAGCAAAAATTGAATTCTATCTACAAGGCTATCCTGCCACTGTGTGTTGTGGATAAAGACTTAACAATACATGCATTACAAGTCAATACAATAGTACACGTCTTTGCCCTGACAATTGTTTTTATTTCAAATCTGCACCAAATTGCGCTAAAATTATTTATAGCCTTCAGTACCCAAGTTTTACAGCTCACAATAAAAACGTGAATACCAGGTGCTGGCAACCTGAAATGTGTGTATGCGTTAGTAATTTGTAGCATTACTGAAGTTCTCTTTTAAGTTAAAATCTTGCTTGCCCTTTTATAAAGCAACCCTAAAAAAGGGAAATCCTGAAGCTGTTGATGATAATCCACCAAATATTGCAGCTATACCAAAGTCAGAAAGCCCAGTCAAATAATTGTAAAGTGCCCCTGTGCCCATACTATGGACATTAAAGCCTTTACTTATTCTTAACAAGCAGTAAACAAATTTTAAAATAAGCCGTCCCGATCTCTCTAGCTGCATGTACTGTGAAGTAATTCATCCTCACAGATTCTCAAAACTAGCAGCAGAGACTCAAGTCCAGTTTCAGTTAGGTTCTAGCTGCCCAGAAACATCTGCTGTGTGTTTACATCAGATGGTTGCGGTCACAGAAAATAAGGAAAGATGAGCTGTGATTGCAGTGCCTCTGTGAACTTTAATGATTAATTTCTCCACAATGCATATAACTATATGGGTGAATAAGGGTGTGTTTTAAAGTGCTTTTATTGCTTGTTTAGAATATTTAAATACTTAAAGAACTCCGGGCATAGGAATCTTAACTCTTGCAGTGAGGCTACCCCCACACTGCAAGAGTTCTGTGACCATTTTGTCTATGGAGCTAAAATAACAAAGATATACTCACCCGAATCTCGGAACCAACTGGCTTCTAGACTGATCCCTGCAGCCTCGCTCTCCCCGGAAGTCTAAGGTCCTGTGATTTATCATGTCCAAAACAGCGTTGTGGATGTGATGACTCCCAGATGTGAGGACGCCGAGACTCATTCCATCGCCCAAGCGTAGAGGGAGTAAGGTTGCAGGGACCGGTCCAGCAGCCAAGCCAACTGGGCTCGAGATTCGGGTGAGTATATCTTTGTTATTTTAGTTCCCTAGACAAAACGAGCACTTAACCCTTCCAGTGCAGGGATAGTCCTTATTCAATGTGCATAATCTGGGCACAGGTCCACTTTAGGTTTTACATAAGAAAATACAGCTATATTCCATGAAGTCTTTTCTTCCCTTCTGGGTGGGTCTGATGTGTTGTGCAACTTCTCTCTCTCTCTCTCTTTATGGAGGCTGTAATTTAAAGCTGCATTATGCTTTTACCTCTACATTATAACACATTCATATGCAGTAAATTGTTTTAAAGAATTATACTTCAACATGAACCTTTTACTTGCAGTGGTTTGCAGAGAATGTAGTTCTGTACTGCAAAATGCCCATCACAGATGACACCACAGGGCTTTTATTTAATAACAATGATGGTGGGAAAAATGCAATAACCCACAACAACCAATCAGAGCCAGAACTGATCTGAATTCTGTCTGACATTATAGGTTAATGTACTTTGCAACTCATTATTGCCTTTTGCACTGATTCATTAAAAAAAAAAAAAGCCTGCATGTGCTTTGTACCCTGTAACACATGATGCACACACACATTTCCAACACAGAAAGTAGTAAGAATCCCTTAAGAGCACTTTACATGAGATATAGGTTTTAAAATGTTTCTATAATCTTCCAAACCTACCCTAACGTAAGATCATGATGTAAAACCAGAGTGGTAAAAAGCTGTAGATTAGTGAAAACCAGAGAAATTAAAATTGTGGCTTTATAGATCCTGCTACAAAACCGTATTGCAGTTTACTGTTTCTTATATGTATAGATTTATATATTTATAGATATTATATAGAAATACACAAACACACTCAAAAGCCCAAAGTGCATTACTCTATTAGTAGTGAAGCTGATAGTTTTATGCATAAAAATCATTTGATACAGATGTAGTCAGACTTCTGCTCCTCTTCATGGACTCAAAATACTGATGCAGGCCTTGCCCCACAATGCACTGCTTACCATGGCAAGTTAGTCTGGCCTCATCAGTATACAGACACACCATATTGTGAAGAAGTACCACCTTCCCAGACACATCTGAATAAATTGGTGAGCAAACAGCACTATGTGATGAAGACAAACGTACAAATGGGAATTTCTGTCAAACATTAAGGGATGCGTTTAACAAAATGGTGCTATTAAAAGTAGAACCTATGCAATACACAGGCTCACACAGCAAGATTTACGTTATCAAACCCTTGAATAAGTGAGCTACATTGGAAATTGCCATTTCAGTGGTTTAAAGGTTGCCAGTACTTTGATACATTTTCAGTGATTTTCAAGTTTATCAATTATTTGAAATAATTTAGCAAAATGGTGCCAACTGGCATGTGAATTTATAATTATCTATGTCTACTGTGAAGGTCTGCCACTGTAACTTTTCCGCATTGATCTTTTGCCTTTTCCACAGCTGCATTAGATGGTATATCAGAAGGAATCAAAGGGTCCAGCTGATAACTCTGGCAAATTACCAATAGGAGAAGATTGGTGGTGGAGGTTTACAGGAGTGGGTCTACAGGGTGGGTCTATAAATATATCAGTTGATTCAAGAAGTGCCCTATTGATCCTTCACACCAAACTAAGAACTATATTTTTGGTGAGTAATTTTTTTGGTTGAATTTGCATTTAACTTTCACAATTTAAGGCTGAACTCCAGGCTAATATAAAATACACAAATAAATGCAGTTAGGTATTCATTAAAAATCATTACTTTTAATATAACTGGTGTAAGCACCTGTAACTGATTTCGTATCAGTGACTCGCGGTGTAGCAGAACTCAGACTGGGAGCGCGAGGGTCAGGACTGGGAGCCAGTTATGTAAGCGGCATGCAAATGTTGTGACAAGAAATATGCTGCAGAGTGAACAGAGGGATAACCTAATCAGTCTGCAACTGCCCTTTCACTGTGCAGTCAGCAGGCTTGGGTGGGGAGAGAGGGCATCACTGTATCCCTTCTACAGTATTTTGCTGTAATAAGGAAAGTGGTGCCATCTGCCTGGCCGTGGTAGGGTTGTTTAAACCTCAGGATTGGATGAACAAAAACCTTTGGAAGGTAAAACAGCTCCCATATTAGTATTTTATTTGTGTACTTTGTTGAATGCCTAGAGTTCAGCTTTAAACTCTTTTACCAATGTCGTTTCTAAGGTGTTGAATAGTAAAAATTTTAACATGTAGACATAGCTGACCAACGTTTAATTATAAACATATACAAGCTGTTCAGTGGTGTCATCAGGCAGGTATAGTAATTTGGCTTAAGTTTTGTGACAGCCTGTTAACTTTCTGATTCATGGCAACCATAGTGGCTTGACCGCAGGTAGTGCTGCTTTCTCAGGCACTTATCAACAGTGACTCGGTAAGAGGCTCTTTAATTTAATGACCTGATAGGAAAAAAGAAAGTGCACTGAATATATCCTAGACTGAAATGAATAGAATGCTCATTGTAGAGTTTACAGTACAGCCTTCTTGAACATTATGCACAAATATAATCAAAAAAAATACTAAACTTATACTGATACTTAAAATAGCCACAAAGCTGAACAACACCATTCACACAAGCATATATGTGTATGTGTGTGTTTGTTTTGTGCACACGTGTATCTGTGTGTACATATTGACATGGCTAGGAATAATATATACATTGAAATGAAAAAAAAAAAAAACTACCGCAACAAAACCAGAATTACCACAGCACTAAACGGGCACCATGTTCCAAAACGAGCGCTTCGCATTGTGCCTATTACCAAACAAAATTCTGAGTGCAAAAAAAAAAGGAAAATTGAGAGTAGAACCTCACAAAGGATAAGGCTGCAGTAAGAATGTGACTTCATTGTACTCTTATAACCTATAAACCAATTCCTGAGAGAGGGCAGTATTGAAGAAGAGGTGAGATTCAACATTGTTGAACTGTAAGCTGTAGATAAATGCTTTTGTTGTGCAAGTTTTATTTGTGTCCTGAGGTGAAGAAAGTAGTTTATTTGCTTGTTGTCCTTTCGGAAGTATATTTTAGCTTTAGATGAATTGGAGACAAACATGATGTATAGCAATTTAGGAACGTGACTGCAAGAGACAGGCTTAGGAGATTTTCAGAATGCACGAGAGTTGACTTTATGGAGTTCTGATCCAAGACAGACAGACTTGTATAGTTCTGTGACATTTAGTGTAAGGGGTTATGGATTTCTAGAGATATGTGTATATGTGTGTATACAAAACAGAAGATTTCTTGAAATCTGGAGGTAGAAAATGGAGGAAGTTCTGAACTCTGAAGATCCAGGACAGAATCACCTGTAAAATTTTGGAGATCCAAAATAGATTCGTTAAGAGAATTCTGGAAATCCAAGAGAAAGGCAGCCAGGAAAGTAGAAAGGACGTTTTTCCTTATATTGGTAACTGGTATTTGTTCTGTTAGTTTAAAATAAGCTGTCTTAAATCACTTACAAATCAAAAACATAAAATAAAAAAACGTTAAATGCAGGTAAGAAAAAGTTCATTTCCCAAAGTATTCCACATTAGCAGAGGAAAAGTGCTAATGTCCAGTGCAAGTAGACTTAAGGGGAGCTTGCTGGGCTGATAGCAGGACTGGATGCATCGGAGCGGCTGTAGTCGCTGACAGATCCGTTTCTAGAGCTGGCACCCCCTCGCCCTTTAAGCATGCTGGGCTGGAAATTGGCATGGCGGCGGGCATGCTTGGTCAGGTGATCACTGCGCATAAAACGCTTTTCACAAATAGGACAGCAGAATTTCTTCTCTCCAGTATGGGTGCGGTAGTGTCTTGCAAGCTCGTCTGACCTCGCAAACTTTTTGTTGCACTCCTCCCAACTGCATTCAAAAGGCTTCTCACCTGTGAATAACAAACAGAAAGGTGTTAGTGGAGGCAAACATTCATGTTTTTAGCTTAGACACAGTAAGAGATGTGTTCCAAAAGACATATATCGAGTACAGAGAAATCAGTTCACATGGTCGTAGCTTGTAAAATATGGCTATACTCTGTTTATTTTCATACAAACTTTCATAGAAAAAATTCGGAACACTCCATAATACCAATTAAAGTTTGACAAATATTGTTTAAAATTTTGTTTGATATTAATTTTCAAGCCTGGCACACACAAGCCTGGGTCTAAGGTGGCAGGACTGCCAGGGCCAGCAGCCGCATTGCCCTGCCAGACATGCAATTCCTGTGATAATCTATAGCTAGCCTGAAGATAGAGTGCTGTGATCCAGCCTATGACAGATAGCATGCTTGTGAGAGCATGGTGCTTTCTTGCACTAGTTATTTATTTATTTTTACGTTTAATAAAAGGTTGCAGCTGCCCTTGGGTCCACAGGCCACTGGTACAATATGGACAGGCAACTGTAACACAATCTGACTTTCTATGTCTTGCTAAAATGTCAAGAGGGTGTAATCTGATAAACCAATACATAGTGCCAAGTTCAAGGAGGGTGGGGCTGCACAAATCGGTCAGATCTTCATAAAGCACAATGGCACTGGTGAAGGTGCTCCTGAAAAAATGTCATGTTCCTCACACAAAGTGGCTCAGATTTGAAGATTCACATGTACAAAGTCTAATGCGAGTCCAAAAACTTTTAATAATAGTATTGCTTCATAAATGATGACACAGAACAACCAACACCGTTCGGGAGCTCAAAGACCTCCCCACTCTTCAAAGCTTAAACATAATGGGTAATCATAAGGACTTAATGGTGTCACAAATCACCAAGAGTTAGGTATTTGCTGTATAGAGTATAGCCAGAATCAGTGAATCCCCTGAAACACGATGGCTGTTCTGTGTTGTCGTTTGTGAAACAATACTAATAAAAGTTTTTGGACTCTCAGACTGTTTGGTGCACTCATCACTTTATACATGTGAGGCCAGGTTCACGCCTGGACGATCCGTGACCGTGCGGCAATCGTGCAGGAATGGCCGCACGATCACGGAATCGCACACCACCGCCGATCGCACTGGGGGTGCCTTTATTTTCCAATGGCACCCCAGTCGTTCCAGGCAGATTGTGCAGTTTCCCGGCGCGATACCGCCCGTGCAATTGTAGTTAGAAAAAAATGTGCAATGCGTGTTGCAAAATATGGTACATGTACCTTTTTTCAGCGTTTGTCACGCGGATGTAACCACATTGAAATCAATGGGGCCGCACGGCAACCGCTGTTTGCACTCGTGCATGATCGCCGATATGTGAACTTAGCCTGAATCTCCCAAGAAGGACACCTTTTTGGTGCCAGCTATGAAAGGTGGGATCTTGAGATTTCCTGTGACTTCATGCCTTGTCTTTAGGATAAAAAAATGAGTGAAGATATTTACTGTTTTATGTCAGGGTTATAGACAGCAATAAAAATCTGACCATCTGCATTCTATTGAGACCAAAATAAAAACGTTATGTCTAGAATTTAAACACTCAGACTATATTTTGCTACCTGTCATTATCTGTAATATTTTTAGTTTCACTTGTTCAAAAATATCTGACCAGTTTAAAAGAAGAATTTTGTAATTTTAGACATATTTTTGTAACTCGTCAAGAGTACAAGTGAGTACACCTTTAGCAAACATTCTGATTTGCTGAGTGTACATTTTGCCCTCGGTGTTCTTTATGACATTGATTAAACCCTTAATTATAAAACCTAAGCAAACACTTTATAGAGTCTTGGGTAACACCTATCCGGTTCTCTTTAGTTACACATGTAAACATGGGTGAAATGCCAGGAAAGCAGAGTTTGTGGCAAGGACGATATACGCCAGATGTTCTGCATTCAGACTACCTGTCTGACATTCTACAGTGTCGGGCACTGCTGTCTGTAGAGAAGGATGTGGTTTGAGTTTATCAAAAGCTGTATTTCTTCTTTATTTCCCCACGTCACCAAATATAACGGTAAACATTTATGTTTAAAAGCACAGAGACACCTACATGCATCAACATATTTACACATAAAACAAAACTCTTCTAAAAGAAATAGGGTGGTTACCACTGCTGGCCCCTTACTGAAAATGATCATTTTCTGGCTGTTGCTGACTTCAGTACATTCTGATTCACTGACAATGACCAAGCATGATCTGCATACTTGTTCCAGTTAGTGGCTTGGAAGGATGAAACCATACAATCAACATGGATGTCAGGTAAAAAGATTTTTCACATGACGAGGTCAGAGGTGGTAGCACACAGTATTCTCTTGCTACAGATATACTACACAAGATAAATCATTCACACACCAATACAGCATTCCAGCTGGACTGGCCAATACATTTATCAGAGATAGATAGATAGATAGATAGATAGATAGATAGATAGATAGATAGATAGATAGATAGATTTTGGGTTTGGACCGAACCTGAGCTCAAATGAACCTGGAAGAAAGCTGTCAGTCGTGGCCCAGTCACCTGCAGCACTCCCTGACCACGCAGCTTAAAAAAACCGAAGGGCTGAAATGCTGGTGACATTATTGAACCTACACGACCACATATAATGACAGGTCAATGATGTCACCAGCATAAAGAGGTGCGGGTTTCTAAACCAGCAATGAGGCAGAAGAAGTGGGTGGCTAATAAAAGGGGCATAGAACTGATTTATGATTATATATAAATGAAAAGGTGCCCAATGTTTCATTTATGTTATGTTGGGGAGTCTAGCTCCACTAGATGGCATTCCAGCCATAAAGTATAATGGAGTTCCTGTCTGTCTAAGGGCATTAAGTTCATTATACTCTAAGGCTGGAATCCTGCACATTCATAGTACTGCACAAATGACAAGATGTTGAATTGCCTGGCCAGGAAGAATGTTCAGAAGAATACGTCTGATCTGTTTAATAACTAAATAGTAGAGTGTTGAGGAAAGGGGGGCCTTATGCTCAAAAGTGTGCTTCTCCTTTAAGCAGGTGTGGCTCAGCAGACCAAATGTGGCCCCTTGGGGTTTTATTTTACTCAGTTTGTCTTTTTCTTTCATCTGAGTGTCACATGGCCAGGAAAGTGTCATACAAAAGATTTGCATGCCTGTGGCCCTGCCAGATAAGAGGATCTTCTCCTAAATAATGCTTTATGTCTGACGGGAGTGCCATTTACAGACATGATGCACTGATTATCAGCTTAGTGAGGATTCTGTATGCTGAGATTTTTAATTTTAAAAAAAAAATGAAACCTGGGAAGAAAAAACAACTGGCACAAAAAGAAAATACAAAATCACACAATCATTGTGATGACAGCGTCACTCAAGTCAAAAGCATAGTGACAATTTGGGGCCTTGCAGGGTCCCTTTGTCACCTTGAGAAAGGGACCCTATGCGGAGTTCGTATTCTAACATCTAGTCTTGGTACGGCATCATCTGTCGCTATCACTTAGCGCACCTGCTTATTTGGAAGTAGTCAGTAGTGCAGCTTGTGGCTAGGTTCACACATGCACTACACTGCACGACACCCGGCACGTGTGATAGTGCACACAGCGATTTCCGCGTGGCCCCATTGATCCCCATGGGGTAACATCCGCACGGCAATCGCTAAAAAAAGGTACCTTTTTTTGCGACACACGACGTGCGGCTTTTTTTATTCACTTGCACAGGCAGAATTGCACCGGGAAACCGTGCGATCCGCCCGGCGCAACAGGGGTGCCATCAGAAACGAATGGCACCCACAGCATGATCGGTTCACACCTTGGCGACTCCTGACCGCGCGGCAATCGTGCACAAAACAGGAGTCGCCTAGGTGTGAACCTAGCCTCATATTTGGACTTTGGCAAAAAGAGACTCTGCCTTCTGTTAGAGGCATCAACTCTCATAAAGGACAGTAAGTCACATAAGTGTGGTTAGACGCAATGTATAATTCCTGGAAATAAGTCACAAATCCACTTTGCTACTATTTTCTATGTATAACAAAATCCACTGTGTCTATGAACAAGACTTAGTTAGCATATTGTACAACGCAGACTGACTGTCCTCCCTCCACCGAGTATACAAATGACATATTATGCTAGATTCAGAATACGGCATATGTCCTAGGGACAAAGCCAGAGGCAGCTTCAACAATAAGAAAAAAAAAACACAGAAGGTGCTCACAGATCTAAATGACAGCTGATAGCAATAAAACGTAAGCAATGTGACTAATGAGTGCTTCTGATGACTGCAGCTTTCATCTATTTCTTTAATCAATTCCATTATCCATAATGAGGTCATTAAATGTTTCTGTATGGCTGGAGACTTCATCAGCCAGGTGATATTATGATGTCATAACTGCAAAGAACAATTCCATTCTTGGATGAGTAAATGGCACTGACACTAAGACGATAGCAAGACCTAGACCTTTATTTGCTGGGGCTGATCCTAAAGACTGTATGGCTGACATGAAGGGTCAGAACTTCTATTTTTTTCTTGTCATACCTCTAGGGAACATAGTAAGCTTATTTAGATGATTATTGCTACAACTATCCACCTGTTAGTCTGTGGCATCTGAAGAGCAATAGAAAATCTATTTCCAACACACGGTGGCTTATTTGCATAATGATGTTAATGAGATTTTTGATGTTATAAACCGCGGGTATACACTTACAACTATTTTTTTAATATATGCCTGTGTTACAGTGTGTAACAATGCAGGTTCATGACCCAAGACCATCATTAAATAATTAGAATGATCATATGTCTTTTTGCTAAATTGTTTCCTTTCATCATTATGTGAGCTTAAGAAAAATATAGTGAGATACAGTATATTAAATGAGTCAGTGGATAGAGCACTGATGATGTGTAATGTGATGTAAGGGCTCATGCACACTAAATTGTGTATTTCCCCCTTCAGGGAGCCACATTTGCTGTGTCCAGCCTCCCATATAAGTCAATGGACATACGATCTTG